TGTGTGTGTGTGTGTGCTCCCCCTCCCCCAGACATAGGTAGCTTCTTGCAAACTCCTCTGTCCTATCATCCAACTATCTCTAAGTGATAGCACAAAAACACAGCAGTTCGTTTAGGAGCATTGCTCTGTTTGGGTGCTTTACATTCTAGATATCCTTTGTGAACATTAACAACAGCTTAACACACAACTAGGTGAGAAGACATCAAGACTACCTGTATTTTAGGCAGCGTTCCTTATTTAATTTAGTTATTATGATGCTGTCTGTCTGTCCCTAACATCTAAGTCCCTTTGGATGTTTTTTTATCTGGTTCGAAAATGAGTTTCTCCTTCTAAAGTTATTCAGATATAATCAAAAGTTAATCCTCTCTGCTGCGTCAGTGCTCTTTATTAAGCGACAGTCTGCATGTGGTGACAGATACTATAGAGCCTACTGAAACTGGAGGCACCAGTTTGTTAAGAAAGCACATTTGCATACCATTAAAACACCGTAATGCTTTTTGTTTTGGCTTCTCCTGAGCTCGCAGGGGGCGGGACGCTCTGTCACGTTTGCTAAAGGCATTACAGGAAAGTTACAGCAGAGTGTGGTAAGAGTGTAGCTGTGTTTTGGAGATGTTTGGAGGAGCGCTTTGTCACCAAGGCCTCATGTTTCCTTCTTCGTGTAAGTGTGGAGTTTGTGAAGTTTGTAATTTAGAAGCATTTTCTCCCTTGAAGCACAACAACGACAAGCTTTTGTGTTGTACTATTCTGTCTGAACTGTTCCTAAATACTGGGAAACTGAATATTAATTGGAGGAACAGTGTAAAAATAGTCCTAAACAAACCCTCTGACAGTAGAGGGGGAAGCTGAACAGGTTCGCAGGGAAACAGTGCAGCTTCCCCCCCCGTCTTTGTTTCAGTTACACTCATCATCAGGTTAAACAGTCTGAGAAAAAGTTAAACTCAGCACATCACTACCTTTTGCTGGCAGTCTTTCTTCGCTTTAAGTATAGCATATGGTGTTAAAGCCTCTAGGAGTTGTGGAGAAGGAGTAATGATCTCTATAAAACAGGTTTTAACACCATTTGGTTGTCAATTAAAAAGACTATAGGCTGGCAGAAATTCGGCGGACCCCCTGCCAAATGGTGTTTTCCTTTTCAGATGTTCAGGTGGTTGTAAATCGGCTGCTGCAGTCTGAAACTGAATAGGGCTCATTCACATGCTTTACTGGCTTTCCAGCTGTGTGTGGGTCCCTCGAATACAAGGCCACCCAAAGTTGTCTCCTAGGGATACCTCACATAAATCCACACAGCCTTATGATCCACATTCCCTCCTTTACATTTATTTACTTCCCCGTCTTTTCTCCCCCTCAGCTCCCCGACATACAGCCACCCACACTGCCGCGTCCTTCTGTTAACGGTGGTACATCTCAGTATGAGTAAGGTTGGAAATAAAATGCATTAATAAGATAAAAAAAAGTCTTGTTTTGAAGGTTATCACAGGTAGGAAAGATGTAAGTGCACAGAATATGCAGCTTTGTTTACCACACATTGTAGTAACACAAACACACTGATGTATGACGGTATTTGACCTTTTGCTAAGCCACGCCCTCCTTAGTTACTGTTGCTGTGTCTGTGCTGCACATGTGCAGTGGTTTTCTGCTGATAACGGTGGCAGATTTTAACAGTGAAAGTCACAGTCATTCTTTAAACGCAGAGGAGTAAACAAAGGCTTTTCATTTCTAGCTGACAACCTAAAGCTACCTGGTTGGATGGTGAAAAACACAACATGTAAATGATTGATGACAGGAATGCGCTCATCAACAACGGGAGAGGAAGTGCAGGGGACCTCGAGACAATCGCTGCTCACGGCGTCTTCCGACCACCCAGCCCGGCCAGCCGGAGCAAATGCCGCTGCAGGCAGATCGATCGCCCCCAGGGAGAAAGGGAAGAGAGCTAAGCTTGGACCTAAGAGAGTGAGCGAGAGTGAGGCACCGTCAGCCCATCATAACAAACCCCAACTCATCAACCACTGGGAATAAGCCATGAGTTTGGCAATCGCAGTGGGATCTAAACCCAAGTTTGGCTGCAGGTTTTGTAGGTAGTAAGTTAGTTAACTGCACTTGGTAACATTTGCTGATTACGTTCGGGTAACGTTAGCAGGAAATGACGAAGTTTAATCCATTCCTCACACATTTGCTTTTGTGTTTTAGGTTTTTGAAAAGAAAAAGACGGCTGAAATACAGAAGGTCGCTCGTCTTAGAGCCTCGTGCACGCCGCTCAAACGTGTAGAGAAATGCGAAGCTTGACAGGTCTGCAGTTACAGTTACAGTTGCTGAGCTGTGGTTGGACGACTGCTGTTCGGAGGAGGGCTTGTGTACAGTGCAGCCATGATGGCATCAGGAGTCATGGAAGAAGACTCAACCTAACATTAACAACTTGTGGCCAGTCTGCAGTAATTCAAAGCAAACTGGAGTCGATGAATTCCCAGGACATGTCGTGACCTTTTGTCTTGTTCTGGATGAGTTATATTTGCAGAGTCGCACTCCGGCTCCTCTCCTTCAATGAATTTCAGTGATGCATCAATATGAATTGATCCATCATTGAGGTCAGACTGAAGATTAAGTTATCTTGTGCGGTGTAATGGGTAAACATGGACATTAGGACAGCCATGCTATAAATGCTGTTTTTAGAGAACGGATCCACCAAATCACATGATTTTCTAGTCTTCTACCTTTTTTAAAATGGATGCATTACTACGCTGCTCGGATTAATGGACTTGTAAATAGCCGTAGAAGAGAACATCGGCTTAAATACCTCAATTGTAACCGAAACATCGCCACACGACGTCTGAGAGACAGAGCTCCGTGCTCGCAGGCAGGCAGGAAGGCTGCAAACAGCCGAACAATACTGCAGGCGATATAACAAGGCCTTGGGTGCAGCACACACACACACAATGAGTCCTTTGTACTCTCTCTCCCTGGGTACTGTAGGGGTGCGGTATGCCTCGTCAACTATGCCAGCTAGCATGGGGCCAGCCCCCCTGAGCTGCCCAGGAGCTCTCTTGGGGTGTGCGTCTGTGAGAGAGGGAGTGTGTGGAGGAGACGCAGGGAAACTTCGAGAGCCCCCGTGCCCCTCTCTCCTTTCCTTATCCAATTTTTAACCACTGTGATGTGCGTGTCCCTGATTTCTGTGGGTAAAATGAACTGTGGTTGTAGAATTGACCGTGGACTTTAAAGATGAGATTAAAGTGATGGACCAAGTCCCGCAAATGGAAAAGTTAAGTCCTGATGCCAAGAACTCCACCGTTAAAGTGCTCAGCTTTATAATGCAGCAGACTCTGGTGGCTCTTGTATATCTGGAAAAAGAACCACAAATAGGGCTTCTGAGTATTTGTGTTGGTATCGGAAGAATAAAAACAAAAATCTAAGTTGTTGTTGAGCTAGCAGCACACCCATTGGTTAGTTGTTGCAGTGGTAAGTGCATCATTAAACATGCATACAAAAAGAATCTTTACAACCCAGTAATTTACTGAAGAAATGTCTTTTGGTTGACTGCTAACAGGCCACTCTCATGTATGCCAACACTGGTTACCCTGCATCCTATGTAGGGATATGTTGATGTTTCATTAGATTGCAAGAGAAAAGGTAATAAATTATGGATTTGTGGTTCTCGAACTGGTTTTTGGATGCTTACGAAAAAAAGTAAAGACTTTTTTTATCTACTATTGTTTGCAGTTGTTCCTGTGAGGGGAAAAAAAGATGGGGAAATAATAGAAAGTCAGTCATACACTTGGGTAAAATTACAGAACAATTCAGTGCGAGAACAAATGTTGAAAAATAAATTATTGATTAAACAGACAAGATTATTTATTGGAGATTAGAGTAAAAAAACAAATGCAGCTGCAGACTGATCTTGGACAGCGTCTTTTCCTAACAGAGCCAGATGATCACATGATGTATCCAGCCACCCCACTTCCCTCAGCTCCTCGGCGTCTGGGGCACTTTAGACCCCGTTACTATGGCAACCCTGTCGCTGTGCCTCATGGTGGGGTTTGGAAGTCGGACCTGTGTGTGTGTGTGTGTGTGTGTGTGTGGTGGTCGTGTGTGTGTTGTTGTGTGGTGTGTGTGTGTGGTGTGTGTGTGGTGGTGTGAGGGAGAGATCCTCCCAGTCACAGAGCAGTACTGGTACGGCCTTGTGCAGAAGACGGAAAACATCATTTCAAACTTGGAGGACTTCATGTTAAAGTATTTTATCTACTTACTCTCAATCTGCCAACTCCATAAAAACGAATCGCAGCTCACAACCAGGGCAAGCAAAAGAACAAAAACAACCCTCAACACGCAATTTACAGGGCCAGGTGGGAAAACATTTTTCTTTTAGTCTTCTTCGGACAACATCAGATACCTAGAAATGTGTTTGAGTTTGAGGTCCAGTGTGTAAACATTTATAGGAGCGATCTATTGGTGGAAATGGAAACATGTCAAATCAGAAATACAGGGAGCTTTTCGCCTTATTTTTGTACGCATGTTGACCGTAGTTTCCCCTACACACTTTAGCGAAGGTGAGACCACTGGTCCTTAGAAATAGTTATCCAAAAACACTTTGATATTTTCATTTTATTTTGATAATCGAATAATCTTATAATAATATGAATATTGCAATTCCTTGTGTATGTAATGAAACCAGATGGTTTTAATGCCTTTTATCTTCCCTGACTACAATATTCACACTGTAATAATATATCATATATTACTAGTATATAGTAATATACAGCTAGGTTTACACGAGGTGTGTTTCTTCATGACCCTTTAGGAGATGGATGTTAATACTCACGATTCTTAAATCCCTCTTTGTGTTTGTGTGTTTGCCCTGATCAGAAAAAAGGCCAAAGGTGAGAGCTCGTTTACCCATGATCATTGTACCCATGCTGGACATCGTGGGAGAAAGACTACTTCGGACTACCGCTTCAGGACTCAGCACAGAGTACCAGGTAATGAATTGGATGATGCACGTTATCTACACAATTTTTCCTGTATTATTAGATAGGATGGATAGAAATACTTATATTTATCCCCCGAAGGCGAAATTATATATATATATTTATATATATATTATTATATATATATATATTATATATATATATAATATTATTATGTTGAACAGTTTTAAAATAACAGATAAAATTGACTTAACAGCAATGTTGACGTTGCCTCCCTGTGTTTGTTGATACCAGTAATCGTAATTAATCACAATATGCAGTATATCAAACTATAATTTCAGTCCTCAATATTGTCATTTTACATTTCGGCAGTCTCCTCAGCTGCTGTTCACAGCCAGGCTTCAGATTTCAGTCCAAATCACCATTTCCCCATTGGAAGGAAGGCTTGAGGCAGCGACTTTTCCCTCCCAGTGAATGGGCTAAAGGGATTGGTTATGGGACTTTTGTCAGCTCTGGGAGTCAGGCTGTGCTCTGAGACAAACCGTTTTAAGTTATGGTCTGCCAGTGACCCTGTTCCTTCACAATGATACTCTGTGAAGGCCGTGGAAGGAGGGAGAGCTGGTGGGAGGAAAGATGTAAGTGAAGGGAGGGACACTGAGAAGAGGGCTGGAGGTAGAGAGTCAAACGGGTGAGAGAAAGCGAGGCAGTGGGGGGAGGCGGTGGTGCTGTAATGAGGAATGTGGGGGAGAGGAGACTAGAGAGTGCTGCGAGTTCCTCTGTTATCTCTCTCTAACTTACACATGCACACACACACAAACACACCACCGCCTCTCCGTGGCATTTTTCATGCCTCACAGAGCCTGAACTTCCAAGAAGAATTACAGCATAGAGCAGAACACTTACTTTAGTGTCTGAGTGTATTTCTACAAAGGACCTCCCAGCATTAAACTTTTCTTTAAACCAGCTACAAGGAACTTTCATCTTGTATTGAGTCTGGCGGCCCCTGTGGACAGAAGCGGTAGTGTTTCCGCTGCCTCGTTTCATTGATTTCGAGTGGAAACTGACAGAATCAGATCAGCGGCAGGCATTAACAATAACTATATAGAAATAGCCTTAAATATATTGTCACTGATGGTATTATAGAGGCATCAGTATTAAGTTGAGACGGTTTCATAATGTTTATAAATTGAATAAAGGCAGGAGAAAAAGACTATACTTGTAAGATCAAATGTTTCTTGCACGATTCTTTATAAACCTCATCTCTATGTTGATGAAGCCGCTGTGTTTTTTTAAAAATTGTTTTCACCTTTTTGTTTCAGCACTGGATTGACGTTACAAAAAGTATCAAAAAGCAAGTGAAAAGTAAGTATACAGAGGAACTCCCTCTACCCATTTCCCACTCCCCAAACATACATAATTACCTGATACATATAAAAATATCCTTTGACACAGTGCACAGTTTGTAATTCATTTTTTGTGAATAACAAAAAACTGTTATGTGTTTAAGTGAGTGGCTGTGAGGCATCTGGTCTCTAAGACAGTTTATTACATTCTCTCCCTGGTATTTTATTACATTGTATGACTGTTCAGTGTTATAACATTAACTGAGCTGTGATTTTGATCCGTCTTTTAGTTGGCCCACCATACTGCCTTCACATGAGAGTTAAGTTTTACTCCTCAGAACCAAACAACCTGCACGAGGAGCTCACCAGGTCAGTTAAGCCACAAACATTTGAACTTCTCCCAGTGTACTGGGGCTGGGTTTATTTAGTAAAGCTGTTATCTCTTCTTTTAAAATAGATTTGCTTTACAAGTGTGTTGTGTTGTCTGTGTATGAGAGAGAGGTCAAACATAAAAAAGAAGTGCAGTGCTGTTCATTTTCTTTACAAAATAATAAATTTGGCGTCCTTTATCTCACTCAGATAGACGACTTTTTAAAGAATTGGTGTTCAGTGCTGCCAGTTTGGCAAAGATTGTTGTTTCGGTATCATATTCCATGAAATCCATGAATTAATCACCATATTTAACTGTATTGTTTGTTTTCCTTTCAGATACCTGTTTGTATTACAGTTAAAGCAAGATATCCTCAGTGGCAAGTAAGTCATTTCCTGCATTTTAAGTTAAATTCTACTACCCTAACGAACAGATCTTTTATGATTTCATGGTACTCCAAATTAATGTTTAGTGAAAAAAAGCCAGACAGACAACGGGATAGTTGCCATAAAATTCTGGCGGTGGCTTATCAGTTAAATATTTTGTCTGACTTTCTAGTTTTTTATAGTAATTGTTAAGAGTACACATTCTGAGTGGTTATCCAGTCTGGTTCAGAGCAAGTGACAAAACCCTTAATAATAATAATCCATTTTATTTAAAAAGCGCTTTTTCTGAATACTCAAAGACACCTGTACAACTCATAATATAAGAAGTGAATAACAGAACATCAATCAGGTAAAACAATATAAAACAGTACATTAACTAGCACTGGCTCAAATTTCCCACTCATTGCTCATTGCCCAAGTCAACATTTTACTGACCCCTTTACAAGAGCTACTGCATTTGTTATATACATCAGTCCCGCTGTCTTGTCATTTCACACAGCTAACATTTATCACTTGACCAAGACAATATACTGTAGCGCCTTTCTTCATCAGTTGGTATCTCTGTTATTGTAAGAGGCTTACAGGATTACATGTTGGTGAACAGCATGGAGTTATTAACAGTTACTAAGTGGACTGAATATTCAACTAATAATAAAGTTTTTTTTTTTTACCACAAAGGAACATTTTTTGCATTGTTTGGCTGAATAATAATAGAAAGTGGTCCTCAGTGAAGGTTGTGGCAGCATTTTAGCCTCAGTGATTTAGCTGTGGCTGACTCTAACCATGTCTGTATTTTCAGGTTAGAGTGTCCATTTGAAACAGCGGTGGAGTTGGCTGCCTTCTCGTTACAGGGTAAGCACCCCAAGCAGATTCTCTCCAACTCCAGCTTTCTGTTGATTGGGATCACCTTTGTAACCCCTGCCATTGTTTGTGCAGTGTACTGTATGTGCACACTGCTTTGCGGAGTTGAGATGTGTATTGTGTTTACTGCACAGAGCCCTACAAGGCCTGTAAAATATATTGGAGCACTCTCGTACCAAGAACCCTGGTGATTTTTCAACCTGCAGTGACTAAGTCGCTATTGTAAGAGCCAGTTTCTGTTCATCCACATAGCTTAACTCGGTCACAACGCTCCCACACGCACAACAGACATTGCGCCTAGTCCCTGCGCTTACTTTGTAACTGGTGATAATAAGTTGAGCTGTGTCTCAACGAGGCGTTCACCAAACAGGTCCACATACTCACTCAAGCCCAGTGGCAGGACTGGACCCTTCTGTCATTGTTCCACTACAGTTTTCCTGGATCTTTTCGAACCAGTCTTTATGAATTACCATCTTCACAAAATGACGCTCCTGGCAACATTGTTGTCATAGACACTGAGGCACATAAACGCTTCTGCTACAATAATAAAAACTCTTTTTAGGACATTCGAATTCTTTAATGACATTTCTGCTTCCACTCTACCTCTTACCTCTGTTAACGTAGTAGTTTCCCAGTCTAATATGCTTCCAACAAGTGTTAGTTAAATGTCTGTGTAACAGCAGGAATATTATCTGCGGTTCCCTGCCAATATTTGCTTATCAAGCTCTCAGTTAGCAAGTTTAGAGTAGGACAACTTGGTGTCAGGGCAATTGATGTTTCCATAGCTACATACAGTACATTTAAAAGTCCTCTAGTAGAGCAGAAACTGATCGGGCTTTCTCTTTCTTTTAAACTACACATATTTACTGTTTTTTAATAGTTCAAAATAGAAGAGCAGTGTAGAGAGTGCCGCTTCAGAAGAACAAAGATTGAGTCATTAGAGACGTTTATGGAATGAGATTGCGTGCACAAACCCATGCAGACACACACACACACACAGTCACTGTGGGGTAAATGCCAGCTCATTAGTGCTCCATCCTCTTCGGAGGCCCCCTAATCCAGCACCCTTTCTGTCTTCTCTCTTTCCTTCTCCCGTTTTCCTTTTTTCAGAATTATACTGTTGGTCCACTGACATTTACTGGGATAGGGAGAGGATAAGATAATCTTTTCTCTCTTCTATATCCTGAGGCTTTGCTCACAGCTGGACAGGCTAAACAGTCCTAGTCCTACTTTCTCCTATCTACCCAAACACTGCAAAATGTAATGAGAACACAGACTTTTCAGTCTCTGTACTATTTCTCTACAGTACCAGAGATAAGTTCCTTTATTTCACCATTTAACACCCTAGTCTCATTTTTATCTCGTGAATACTTGTTTTTGTTTTTCCTGCCTCCTTTTTGTCTCCCTTTTTCACTGGATAAAATCTACGACCTCCTGTCCAGAGGGAGATCAGATACCCATCAGTCCCTGACCTAATGCTACAAATGTATTATGTGCTGTGACATGGAGGGAGGATTTGTTTGTTATTTTATCCATTAAGATTTCCTTCTACCACAGTGCCAGACACTCTGTCTGGGCTCCTCTTCCAGGGGTTGAATGTCAAGGTCTTTGAACACTAAAGTAGTATTTTAAGAATGTTTTAGTCTTTATTTGAATTGTACATTGAATTACCTGTTTTTTAGATTCACCTATGCAGTCCGTCTGTGCAGCGGTGAACTGATATATAGAATGTGTGTCTTTGTGTTTTCAGCTGAGCTAGGTGATTGTGACCCATTAGACCATAATGTGGACCTGGTGACAGAATTTCGCTTCGTCCCCAACCAGACAGAAGACGTGGAGTTAGCGATATTCAATGCATGGAAAGAGTGCAGGTAAGCATTTTATTATAAAGTGTAAGTGCACATATGGCAGTTAAACTGAACATATAGCAGATATCCTATGGAAATAAATGGATGTAGTCTATATGCTGTGTTGGCTTGTGCTGGGACACTTCATAAATACTCTTTTTTTTTATCTCACTATTTTCTTTTCATAATTTCAGCCTAGAGCTACAGTTACGTTTTTGATCATGCAAACATTTCTTTCTGTTCTGTTTTCTCCTTCTCTTCCTTCTCCTCCTCCCTTTTCCCTTGTCTATTTCAGAGGTCAGACACCAGCCCAAGCTGAAATTAATTACCTGAATAAAGCCAAGTGGCTAGAAATGTATGGGGTGGACATGCATATGGTCAAGGTAACTGACAAACGTTCTTTCTTTATATCATTTACTCTATAAACTGAATCTGAACTGTCTTTCATGAAAGACAGGAAGTGGAAGGAATGTGTATAAGAACATAAATCTGTGAAAGGGTCATAATGTCTCTTCGCTGTCTCTTATCTTTCTTTTTCTTTTTTCTTCCTGACTTTTTCTTTTGCCCTGCAGGCAAGAGATGGTAATGAGTACAGTCTGGGTTTGACACCCACGGGAGTTTTGGTGTTTGAAGGACAAACCAAGATCGGGCTCTTCTTCTGGTATGTTTGGTTCTACCCTAATTTACTGAGATATCTACTTAAATGCCTTATAGAAACACTTTCTGTGAGCGTTTCTTTGTATGCACTAAATGTACTCTGCATGTTTTTTATCTGTTATAGGCCCAAGATCACTTGCCTGGATTTCAAGAAAAGCAAACTGACGCTTGTGGTGGTGGAGGATGACGAACAGGTGAACGTGAGCAAACGCACTCAGATATTTGGATACAGTGAAATGTTGAAAATGCCGAAAATACAGTAAATCTCCCATAGAGGTCCTTCTTTATAATACTATACAAAGACCCAGTCCAAATGCTTTCAACATACTGTAGCAAATAATTATTATGAATGTACTCTACTTACTTACAGAGCACCTAACCATCTTATGGGCCTATCAAATACTCAGCAGGTTCTACTAAGTTTGTAACTTTGCAGAGGATAGCAGACACTATCAGGCTATACAGCTTTCAGTAAGGATAAAAAGTTCTCCTACCACTTTGTCAACTTCTCTGGTGTCCATCTGTAGGCTTAGTGTTTTCCAATTATGCAAACCTGTTGTGAAAATAGGACTAATTGTGTCTAAATATGCAGGTTTTGTTTGTTATTGGTGCACTAAGCTGTTCACATTGGCCATTCACAACCAGCATAAGCATGTGTGTCTGGGAAATTTAAAATATGTGATACTTAAAAATTGTTACAACTTCTAAGATGAGCTGTCCCCTTAACAAAAAAGGAAACAATTAAACAACTTTTGCACTTTAAAGATAGCTCTTAACTCTTTTACTACATGCCATAAACAGATTATAATGCTGCCAGGACAAAGACAAGGTTATTCACAAACTCAGGTAGACCATACAAGCCATTCCTTTAAAAATCACTTAAAAGAAATTGTACAAAGAACAAATGTTCCTCTTAATACCTTTGGTTAAAGTGGTGCCTGAGCACAAAAAGAGGTTGGTTTTAAATCAAAATGAAACAAGACTTAGTATTATACTACCCAGAGGCTAGTGTATATGAGGGAGAAGGAGAGTCTGTTTATGTCCGTGCTGGAGGTCTGTGAGTGAGGTTAATAAAGAAGCCCACCCCCTCTGGTATTTCTGGTATGCACCATTCTCCTACACACACAAACAGTTCTCCCCTCCCAACTCTGTCCTAAAGGGTCATATACTGTATGCTAGTCTTGTGGACACAGGAATTTACTGTACTGTATATACTCAATTGTTTATGAAGATGCTTGACACACACAACAGGAGCAACTCAAGATGAAAACAAAGGAGAGAGGGCGTGAGAGAAAGTGAGCAGTCACATCCCATTGTCAAACAGATTTTCTAAGAACAGGTGGTTGGTTGAAATGTGTCTCTCAGTTTGTGTGTGTGTGCTTCTGTCTCAATGTGTGGCTCTTAAATAGTCTGTCATTACTATTAGGTCTTTTTGGGAAGGCCCGTACCCCCGACAACCAAGAGGCCCCAACTGGATCCAAGTTTTGCGTTCTAGTTCAACTCAGTGGATGGATCTGACTTCAAATAACTTTTCTACAGATCTCAACTCTGTGGAACATTTTAATTAGACCTTAAAGGGCATGAGAGGACCTGGAATCTGAGTGATAGCATGAGCAACATATTGTCAACATTGTAGGTTAAGGAGTAAGGATGTCAAAAAAAACAACGTGTAACTGTGGCTCTGTGAAGTGAGAGACTGTCACTCCAACAGCAGTCTGACCTGGAGGCAGCCAGGCTTTTTCTTGCATTAGATCACAGATGCACACATTTTACATCGTCGTTGAATAAATCAGAGGATATGCATCAGCAGGCTGTCGGTGTTTCATGGATATGGTACTCAATATGGGTCTTGGTTTGTTTTTTCATTTGTGTAAAGGTTTATGGGGTTTTATTCAGCTTTGGATGTAGATTTAATTCCTTTAGTGCATATGTGGAATACAAGAGGTACATCTGAAAACCAGTGAAGGGAAATCAAGCAAAGAGCGGCAAAGAATCTGACTGTGACACTGGAATGGCTCCAGTGCAAGTTTTGCAACCGGCTGTGGTGCCAAGCAGGCTTTCATCTAGGCCGCAACGAGAAATCAGATTAATGAGGCAGCATCTGCACACACTATAGTGCAGCCATTCATTCTCCACATTTTAGTCTCATTCCACAAGCGAGAGCTAGCACACGAGCTTTGTCTTCTGAAAATGTGTTGGCTAGTGTTGATCATGTATAACAACAAACACTACGCCGTGGTTGCAGGTTTCATTCTGACTTGAGATGTCTACTTTGTAAAGTAAATTTTATATGTCACTGTACTGAGAACTTTCCCTCTAACTTTACACCACCCAGGGCAAAGAACAGGAGCACACTTTTGTCTTCAGGATGGATCACCCCAAGGCTTGTAAGCACCTCTGGAAGTGTGCTGTGGAACATCATGCTTTCTTTAGGCTGAGAGGGCCGGTTCAGAAGAACTCTGCGCGCCCCGGATTCATACGCATGGGATCACGCTTCAGATACAGGTAACAGATTGATGTACTGTCCGATCAAAGGGTTCAGGATGCCTTTTGAATAAGGCACTTTTTCTTCTAGGCAGACTGGCTTGGTACACAAGGGTTGCCATATCCTTTTGTACCAAATACGCAGGGCTTGAAGTTCTCTAGCAAATTTTAGATTCACAAAGTAAACTCTGCATGTAAAGCCCATTGTAACAGATTCTTTATTGGGAACAAGTTTAACCTGATAATGTTTGGCCCTGCGGCACAACATTTAATCAGGTTCAGTGCTGTACAAGTAACTAATGTCTATAAAATGTATTCAGTCCTGCATTGATTTGGTCCCAATGCTAGATTGTTCAATTTGACATTAAAGAGTCTCTTTCTGCTCTTTCTTTCTGACCACTCTAGACTCAAAAAGTCTGGATGGTAAACTGCTGCCGAGTCAAGTGCTACAAATCTAGAGGGCCATGCGTTTGTTTCTGACTGTGTGTTCGAACGTACCTACACTGATAATCCTAGTTCGACACACAGTATCATTCTCTGTACATACAAAAACCCCACGTGCGTACACATAGATACTTGCAGTGGTACAAGACAGGCATGCAGTGTCCAAATACCGCAGCAGCCAGCCAGTTCCCTTCTGTGTATGTTTAAACATTACCCAGTTGGATAAGCATTGGCTGTAATGTTGGTTTAACACAGAGGTGACCGGGTTTGTTGTTAATGGAAGGTTATCGCTTGGATGGATCCAGAGTTCAGCAGGGGTCATCGCTGTGCCTTTTTGTTTTTGGGACAATGAGATTGATCCAAGAATCATCAGAAAATTTAATTTTTTGTATTTTATGATACGACCTGCATTGGTTGACGTTACCATTACTTAAGAGTCTGGGAACAAACCGAAGCTCTTGCAAGTATAAAATAAATGTTTGTGTTTGTTTGTGTGACCAGTGGAAAGACAGAATATCAGACAACCAAGGCTAATAAAGCAAGGCGGTCAGCCTCCTTTGAGAGAAGGCCCAGTCGACGTTACTCCAGAAGAACCATGCAGAACAGAGGTGAGGACGACTCCTACACATCCTTTCTTTGAAGAGTCGGTATTTGTCTATATTTTAGAATCTGAATGTAACACTTACTGTCTGTTCTTTGTGTTTTTACAGGACAATACCATCCACAAGAGTGAGTACACTGATACTTAAACAATGTGATTGTGCCATTGCCTGATTATATAACTTTATCTATCCTTGTACAGCTTTACTTTTAGGGTGATGACATGCATATCATTGATCTGTGTGGAAATTATATCATTTTATTTACTGATTGTCGGAGCACCATTGTTGTGTAATCCTGTTTACATTGTCTCATTGTCTTATTTGTGATAAACAACAACAATGAACAGGCTTGCACTGGAAATTGCTTCGTTATATGTCATATATGTATCTACTATACAGTTATCAAGTACTGTTTTAAAGTGATGTGACTCACACACACACACTCTCCCTCTTAATTCATCTGTAAGCCTTGACTGTAATCTTGTTCCAGAGGTAGCCTTTTGTTTCCTGGATATGTGTGTGGGCTAAAGACATGATGTCACTAGTAGTTTTAAGCTGTCATGGGACCAGATGACTCAAAGCATTGTGATGATCAACACTCCTGTGACTTTTCATTACAACGGACTGGGCAGACCTTTACTACTGTGACAGTGCAGGTCCCCTTTGAGCAAGAAAACATATGCAGTATTAATGAGTAATAATAAGGATGGGATTTGCAGATAGGCTCATGGATGTCCTGGTAGACTTAAAATAAAAAGAGATTAATGGAAAGAGTATTGTCATAAATTCAGTCAAACAACGCTGAAAACCAGTTCGGTCATTTACAGCATGAATCCATGTACAGAATTAAGAATTCTTTTAAAAAGTCTCAATTTCTTTCTCCCCTCAGGGTTCTTTCATCAGGCAATGGAGTCAGCTCCAGCAAAGAGAACAAGGTGAGAAGCTTAACGGTTGTGTGTATTTTATCATTTCTCCCTCATTGTACAGGGAAACAAAACAGAGCAGTGCAACAGATTTACACCGGTTTTTGAAGTCAGAGATGAGACCCAAAGCATTAAGTAAGAATCAGACTGCAGGCCAGACACAGTTGGCTAACGTGAAACAGCTTAGTTTTGTCCAAGCATTGTAATATTCTATCTTACAATGATAAGTTGAATGATGGTAAAGATTTCAGTTGTGACATTTTCTTTCTTTTTTAACATTCTCAGTACCTTCCAATCACATCCTTTGTTCCCATCTCTATACCTCAACCATCCTCACTCTCAAACGAATATTTTTTCCTCTGTTTTTCCCCCTTCAGTTTTCTTCAAGTAGAGGCGCCTGGTCAGCCGTACCTGTGGTCAGCCCGGTAGCTGCTTCTGCCTGTGGACCGATGGAGATCGAGGCTCTACCCAGAAGTCCTGGAGGAGAAAAGAGGAGGTTGGTACCTGAGTAATTTCACATTTTTTTTGCCCGATTCAGAGTCAATTCATTTTAATGCCTGCCTATTTTATTTAAATAAATTTCTTTTTGTTGAAATACACTCCAGCCCCCTATAATCCTAGAGAGGATAAGCACAGAAGAAAATGAAGTTAAATGCCAATTCATTCTCCGTACTGTGTACCAGTGGCAGCTCAGTGCTCTCTGATAATGAGGAAAACAAGAGCAGGTTAGGAAAGGTTGGGGCGGGCCAACTGATCCCTGTTGGTTGCTCAAAGAAGTGGGTGGATAGCTAGGTGTGTTTTTCATGATCTAATGCCATGAGAGTGGCTTAACATGGCTTATCCACTGACCCTGGCTTGCTGTGACCACGAAAGGCAGGAACGGAAGGAAGGAAGGAGGCAGAGAGTGTTTTTGTGTGCATTTCCAAGTGCCTGCTCTGTTTTGCGAGTGTGCAAAGTCAGGAAAGATTATGATTCTGCCTTTTTTAATTTGATATACAGAAAATGTGCTAGTACTCAGTTAAGTTAAATACCACCCACATAACCTTTTTGTTATTTTTGTTTGCTATCTCATGGCTCATTGTTCCTGCTGCTACGCTGTATGAGCAGTGTATATAAATGTAGTGTCTGTTTTGTCTAGGATAAATCTGTTATTTGTGGATGCATTTCCATGTGTGGTGTGAAGCTTGAGAGTGTGAATGAACAAGCACATTTACATATGCTTACAAATATGTATGCACCCTCCTCTTATAAACCTGCAATGTCCCCCTATGTGTTCCAGTATTAACAAGTACTGAGGACAAATTGGTCTTGTCTGGAGGCAGGCCAGGTAGGTACGACAAACACTGAACCGTGCCATTGCTCTGGCTTTAACCAATCAATCGTTATGCAGTGGCGGGCTTTCTGATTTTGGCTTTGGAAAAGGGTTTTCTTGCGATGGAATTGTCTTGTGTGATTTGCTGTCTGTCCACTTCTGATCAGCATGAAATGCCAACCTAATCGTCACAGGAAATGACGTAATGACTTGGGGGTTTTTCAGCTTTGGATCTGTTCTGTTAAAGACTTTGTCGCATTCTAGTTTGTAGGTGTCTTTTACTTTCAGTCATCTAATGTCATGCTGTGCATCCTGGGAACCGCCTGCCCCTCTGTAAACCGTTAGTCACAAGATATAACAATATTTGAGTATGAGTAGAGGTTTGCTTGCCAGTCAGCTTATGGCAAACTTTCACATTGATGCAAAAGAAGGAAAATGTATTATGTTTAGCGCTGAGACAGTAAGAAAACATTACTTGCCAGTGTAAAGTAGATACTCTTACTTCCTGAGCAGAAATACTCTGGCTTATGGGGAACAAAGCTTATTCAGATTTACAGCTCAGGCTGATCCTTTTTCTGGTAAAGTAAATTTCTGGTCAGTTGTAATAAGAGGATTGCCTGTCATTTTCATTTCAGGAACCCTTTTTTCTAAATTTTTCTACACAACAGGATGCACAGACATGACCTTGGATAGGTCCAGAGCATAGACAGCGATGACCTATCACAGTAATTATGCTGTATCCTCTTCTTCCAGACTTTGTTGCCCGAAAGATAAACAGTAAATCCAAAAGGCTGAAAATACTAATTATTCAGATTTTATTTTTCTTCCGCAATGTCCTTTAAAACGCACCCTATTAATTTGGTGCTGTACAGCAAGGGCTCTCTGTATTTTTACTTCCCACTTTGTGTCAGTTGTAAGTGTGTTTAAGCAGGATTAAGTTTACTACCTACTGTTTTTGTTTTAATAACACCTACCAGGTACAGGCCCACATTGCTCTGTGGTAGTCCAATGTTCCTGGGGCAATGTTGTCGAGCCTTCAGAAACCTATCCAATTATAAGGGAAAAAAGTATTTTTACCAACACTGACACAAGTACTACAAGTTCTTGGGTATTTTATCAGCACAAGATATTACACTGAGATCACCTCTGAGTTGTTGTTTATGCTGTCACCCATGGAAACTGACTCAGTGGATATGAGGAGGATGCTTTCAAAGAGACATTGCTGTATCATTCATACTTTCTTAATCTCTGGTGCGCTTACCTTTTACCTCCCACGCCTTCCTCCCTTGCTTTTAGTACAACATCTCCGTTGATTTTGCATGGACGACTAAACCATAAGCTGTTTTCCTGATAACATGAGTAGTCACTCTCCTCTATCTGTCTGTCTATAATTCTCTAGCTTTACCATACACAAAGGAGAATAAATACTGTATATGCTTAAGCCTACTGCACTTACATATAAATGTATGATTTAAACCAAAATCAGTTCTTAGCACGCCTGTATAATGGCTTTTTGTATTGTTCCCTTGCTGTGTTAATCGGCCATATAGCTGTATTCTCTCTCCTTGTTTTAAGATGTCTAATACTGCTGTGTGTGCATCTGTTGCCTTCTCTCTAACCCTTTACTGTAAGCTACTTCACTACTCTGAACTTATCATAAGTGAGAGTAGATAACTCTTAGATCAGTGCCATTAGAATTAATTCATCACATATTATTGCCCATTGCTAACAATGGCAAATTTAAAAGGTCACTGGAAGTTCATCTGCTGTCAGTCTAGTCAAAGATCATCAAGTTAGTCACTGTTTTACAGTGGCAATGGGAAACTGTTTGCTACCTTGCCTCCTACGCTCCCAGTGGAGCTGTCATCATGAATAAAAGCTTCTGGCTCCAGGCCTCCAGCACTGAATATATAAACACAGATTTGACATAAGCCATCAGACCTCAGCCGCTGGAGGTCCAAAGCCAGGTCACTGATGCTCCAGAGACATCCAGTCCACTTCACTTAACTGAAGTGTTCATGTCACAATACTTGTCACTGCACACTTAAATGTACATGCACGCTAGTGTACAGTGTAGCAGAAGCAATGTACTATAAATTGCGTGGCTTATTCAGTATCCTCACAATGCCAGGCTTATCACGAACATGAACAACTTTATTTATCCAGTCCACTAAAATAACATTTTTGTTATTATAATCAGAAGGATTTCTTTTGTCTGACTAGTTTAAAATGAACTTTATTATGTCCTAAGACCAGATAAAATGCGGTTCTTGGTGCAACTGTAGAGAATCTTCATGGACCCGTGTTTCTCATACACTGCAAAGTCAGTCTGCATGTCAAACCATATGCAGTGAATTACAAAGAATTAAGCGCTTTCAGACTCATGTTATCAGCTGCCTCACATTCTCTTCTACTGCCTTCTACTCCTTCTTCTTTATACTGGTGTTAAACTAGCTGTTTCTTGGTGTTATCTTTCTCTCCCTCATTCATTTACTCACAATCTCCCTCTCCTCTGTGCTGCTTTCATTCAGTGCTTCCCTTCCTCTCCCCCTCTCGCTCACATTGTGTTAACCTACACTCTTTACATCCCCCACCTGTTTGTCGCCTTCCCCTCCTCCACCCTGTTCTCCCCAGGTCTCCTCTTCCCTCCATCCTTCCTGCTCATGTCTCATCAAAGCTCCCAAGGAGTTGGACACATCCAAGCAACTGACAGCGGCCTCAGCCTCTGTACTGACATGAATTGGACAGCACACAGATAAATGGGAATGGCTCAGCAGTGACTCACCCATGAGAAACGTCTGGTATTTGTGGTAGTGATTGCACCACATGGAAGGACACATTTAGTGTGAATGCAGAGATGCCTTATTAACTGAAACCTTCCTCAACACAAACCGCTCAAAGTATCAGATATTGAGTCTGGTAACACCCCTCACAGACCGACACCTCTCCATGCTTGCCATCACACTGCCGTCACACTTGATACTGCCCTTTTCTTTTCAGCGCGTCAGTCAATGCCTGCATTTCCCTCCATGTTTCCTTGACTCTCAGTCCAGTGACAATTCTGGACAATTCTCTTTCCTCTGTCGTTTTCTCCATTTTGTTACACTTTGTATGTCTCTCATTCTGTCTCTCCTTTCCCTTTTTCCTTCCTCTGTCCTTCACTCTTAACCTCATGGTGAAACTGCCTGGCTGGGACGAGATGGTATCAATGTGAGGCTTAGGAATTCAACTCCACTCTTGACTCTGCAAGGAAACAATAAGTCCCATAGTTCCTGGGGGTTTCAATAAGTCCACGTCTGCTCTCATTGTCATTCTCTCGAAAGTAGCTTTTGTTTTTTTTTAAATCATATTTCAAACATTGTTGCCTTATTAAGTTTGATTACATCAAATGATTTTTATATAAGAAGATATGATTTTCACTATGTTGTATTTAATCTGGCCTGCACATTTTATGGTTTTCTGTTTTTTTAAAAGGTAGTTGGATAAGTAGGTCAGTATCTTTCTCATCTGTAGAGATTTGTCCAAGAGGTTATTAGCCTAGCCTAGTACAAAGAAATAAAAGCAGGGGAGAGTTGTTTTCACTAATTTGTTTGGTGCATTCCAAACAAATCTAAATGTGTTAAGCATTTTAGAAATGCTGCATTGATGCATTTTTGTCTTTGGCTGGAAGTTAGCTGTTTGTCCTTACTTCCATGTTAAGCTGGCCTAACACATCCTGGACTCTATACCCAGAAATTAGATTGATACTGACCTCCTCATCCAACAAAGAAATCAAACAAGCATAATTCTATCAAAACATTTTAAACAGAATCAAAATAGAATGTAAATTCTTTGTGTTTTTAGTACAGTTTGTTTTGTGAACACAACTGCAGTGGTGTAGGCACAGTTGGAGGGTTATTATGAAATGACCCAACCATGAAGGAAAGGGTGGGTTCGGCTGATACATAGAGCGGTCTATAGATGTTGATATTCACTGAATACTTACCTACACCTCAGCTACACCACTGTTTCTTGCACAGCTCAACCAATGAAAATGAATTATTAATATTATTCTTAGTTAAATGTTTACAACATAACTGACCAAAGTATGTGTATATTTCTGAACTGTATGTTGAAAACCATTTCAGAGAATAAAGATAGGATTACTCCTGACACAGAAGACTATGTAGCTTTATGTAGCATCCTTTATGTGTGTTTCATCACACTACAGTGTATATACACTGATTTGGCTATTGGGCTCTCATTAGTGCAGAGAACAGAGAACATGTTGGTATTTTTATCTTCTTTTGACATCTCTCAAGTTGTACCGTAGCCGTTAAACAAAGAAATTAGATTTAAAAATGATAGACACAAGTTATTGGATTGGTAAAAAGTTGCTGTTCACTATGAAGCACAGAAACAAAGGAAATCTATACACAGTCTTACTTTTGGCTGCTACTTTAATGGTTTAAACATTGGGATAGTTGGAAAAGATCCATCACTAGAGATCTCCCAATGAAATCTCTTTAAAAAAAAAATCTATAAGAGACTACTTCTCCAAACCAATTGAACAGCACAGACTAAAGATGAGCAGCAACAGAGTACCTAATGACTCTTTAATGTTTGGTTGGCAAGAGACTGTACGTCTCCCCCCCTGTTTTATTGCCCACATGAGGTTTGGATACATCCTCATTGTTTCCTTCATGGATTGCTTAACATGTAGGTTTGTTTATGTACATTTGGTTTGTCGGACAAAGCATTGTTTTGTTCTTAACATCTTTGTGTGTGTTGTTCTGTAGCTCCTCTTCTCTTAAGGCAGTATGTAGTAATATGTACTTCTCGTGTTTCACTGTGTCTTCAGGCTACAGAAATATGAGGTAATTACTAGGCTGCTGGAAGAGCTTCTCTCCAAATCCATGTATCAAATTTGCTTCAGGTCGCTTCAAATTCAGAGGATATTACAGTTGGTTATTTCCTAGAAAAGTTATTGCTTTCTTTGAAGACTTATTTCCATGGGCTGATAATATTTATTTTTAGGGCTTCTGTCTTTGGACACGCACCTGCCATATTGTTCTGGTAGAAGTACAGTAACTGTCTTTGTACTTTCTGGTATTCCTGATATTCCTGAACAAACATTTCAAATACAGTGGATGTTTTAATATACTTGCAGACCCACTAGAGCAATTATGAATCTGTGAATATGTGATTTGCCAGAGACTTATTATGTTATTATTTCAGATATATGTAAATTTTTTTACATAAATATATTGTATTCAATATATTTGTGTAAACACAGTTTTCTTTAGTTGTTGTTTTTTTTATTCTAATTTTGTTGTTTATAAAATATCTTCTGATATATCATCATGGGCCAGGTTTGCACAGTCCTTTCATATCTAATGGATGCTGTAGGTAAGTTGTACAGCTGTATAATGCTGAATTATTTTATTGGTAAATTGGTTAAACACCTGCATTATCTCCGGTATTGTATCTCCTTGTGTTTATATTTAAACTTCATAATTTTAACCCCCCATCTTGAACTACAACTTCTTCTTTTCTGTCTCTAGTATGCCTATAGTTGCTGACTTGATGGAGACGTGCATTGATGATGTCCTCAGGGCTCCTGTCGTTCCCACACTGACAGCTACAGACGAGGCCGGACCAAGCAACGCCTATGCTACCCCCAGTGTCACCGGGGAAGATCCTCTCAGCCTCAGTGGTGAGGCTATAGAAAACCTAACAAACATACCACAAAGTGAATTCAGTGACAGCGAAAATTCTATAGGAAATGTTGTTGACAGACTGGCAATTTGGTTTTAGAAGCCTAATCTTTAGAATAAGCCAGTGTAATCCTATAAATATCCCTAGTATGTATGAAAATGTATTTGGCAGGATAATACAATATAGTGACGGTGTGTCAGACTGTGAGATGGTGGCGCCACCGACCACCCCTCAGCTCTCAGCTTCACATCTAATACAATTACACTGCCTCTGATCACATTTTTCTGGTATTTACAATTAACAATAGCCTCACTTACATTAAGTCAGTAAACCCACAGAGCTGATTATGCGGTTTGTGATGTTAAGGACAAGTAAACAATAGAGAACTTCTAGACACTGAAAAGGGGCACATAATGAATATCACTTGTAATTTTAAATGTGCATGTTTCATAGTGCATGCACTGAAAGATTACTTTGTAGTTGTGTGGGTGTGTGTTTAAGTTTAACACTGTCTGTCCAGAAACAGCAGCACGTCTGAAGCAGCTGGCGTTGGACAGCAGTCCTCTTCTTGCTGCTCCAAGAAATAACATCAATGTCAATATGGCCATGAACAATCAGGTGGGTGTTTATATAGTATTTCTGTACATTTCTAAAAAATAATGTAAGATGTAGAGTAGTAACACATGCAGTGTTTGATCAAATATCATCATAGTGTGCGGTCCAGTTCGTTCAGTAGTAATAACCATATGTTTCTCTAATTTTTTGTTTTGAATGTGTGTGTCCCATTTCACCCTGCTCCATCAGGAGGACGTGGTGAAACTCACAGAGAAGTGTGGTCTGAGCAGTACAGGCAGTAGTAGCCCAGTGGTCACTCCACTGCGCACCCCAGAGGATCTGAAGAGTAACATCCTGAAAGCTCAAGCTGAGGCTGCTGCCATCAAGGTGAGGAACAGAACGCACAAAACTGGACAAAAGGGGAGAAAAGGAAGTGGAAAGACATTACTCATTGAGATTAATGGATGCATTGTGTTGTTACATTGAATATGTAAAAGGATAAACATCCCATGATCATTGTAAGGATGAAATAGTTTTAACAAGAGCACTCTTAATGCTGGTTACTCTCACCTTTGATGCTTCCAAATTGGTTTAAGAAATTGAAATACAGCTATATCTTTATGTATATTAAATAATAGTGCATACTGTCTACTTCCTAATAGTGTGGGCTTCAGTGTTAACCATCACAGCTACAGAATATCAGTAAAGAAAAACATCCATGTTAATGTCATAGTTGTGATGTTATTCTGGATCAAGTGAGATTGAGATGCATGGCTGTATTAGTCCCTCAGCCCTCTGTCCATCTGTTTGTCTATTTATCCACTTATCTCGCTCTCGCTGTTCCTCTGTGTAGGGACCTTTGGAGGAACATGTGGTCATGGTTGGAGATAAAAACTGTAACTTGCAGGATGCTTCTACCAGGTACAGTATGGCATAATGTCATGGCAGTAAAATATATGTTTTAATTATAATGAATTATTCATTGTTAAACTGAACTTCTAAGTGTTAGAAATGATCAAGAAAATGTTTCTTCCAAGGTTTCCAAACATGAAAAATATTCATAGGTTTTTTTCAGCATCATACTGCATTTACAAAAATCTCTTTTCCTTTTTTAAACAGTCGGTACGGAGCACACATGGACAGGAGAAAAGCCATTGTCACTTGTGCTCCATTGTCTTGAAACTGGGTCTTTTCCCTCCTCCTCCATCTTCCTGAGTCATACCAACTGTCAACACATTGTCTCAGCCAATCGCAGCGCACCCTGCTGCTAGAGCTGATTAACTACTTGAATATTCATGAGGATTATTAGCATAGTTCACAACATTACATCACCTGCAGCTCATCTTTACAAGCCTCCACAGATTGACAAGCAAGTCGCTGTCAGAGGCAGTGGCTCAGGATGATAAGAGGAGAATACTGCTATATTCACAATATATATTATAAATGTTTTACCTTTTTCCCCATGTCTTCCTCCCTGACCCTATTCAACTCTTGATTTATAATGAATTTGTTTATTGTTATAAAGAGATTTCACTCTGTATTAGAATTGATTTGATCCCATTTTGTGAGTCAGTTTTTTTTATTTTCTCTGAATATTTCATGCATGAAATGTGCGTTATATGTAGACACACCAAATCATTGGCACAAAACAGAAATATGTACCATCTGTTTCCAGGTTAAAGGTGCGCACAGGGCGACTGGGCAGTAACTCGTCTCTGTCCGTTAGCAGTCGTGCTGACATCCAAGACTCCTGGGACCTGCTGAAGCCAGCGTCTCTGGTCTCATCAGCAGAGGCCAGGTCAGTCTGTGTACTAAATGCTTTTGTGTGCAGTTTGTATTTTCTGTGTACAATACTGCCCACTGTAATTTTCTCTACAGTACAAGGTAAATAGTGTATGTATTTATTATTCCCAGTGTGGCTGCTTAATGAGAACCGGAGAAACAGGTACAGATTAGCAGAGGAGGGATTCCTTCTTAGAAGATACACACATTATATCTGTTTTTTCTCTCTTTTATGGCTTATGAAGATACCTCCCCCTTATAAATATAAACCTACTTTATAAGAAATGATTAGGTTTATACTGACTGTAGATATTGATTAATCACTATACCTGCTATATAAGGATGCAGTGAATTGATTATAGTTTACTATGCCTATAACTTAATACACACCTATTGAGTATTCAGTTAACCTACTTAAGCTGTTAGGACCTTGAGAGTAGGACCGAAGAGGCTTTGAGCATTCAGATTTTTCTTCTTTCCTTCATAAAACAAGTATAATATACATTTCACAATCATCCATTGGAGACAAAGGTGTTGCTTGTTCTTTGTAGTCTCTGCTGACATCTGTTGGCATGTTTGAGCAATGTGTGTGTATCTGGGTGTGTTGAGTCACATGACTTGACTTCTGCCTGGATACTGCTGGTGTCCTTGCTCAATAAGTGTTTACAGGATGACACAAAACTACAGAGACACGCAGTGGCTTGACCAGACTGTTCACAAAGGCTGTTAAGACCCGGTTTATTGGTGCAGTAAATGCTCATACTATCCAGGCTGTTTTTGTTTCTCAGTAATCAATTAGTCAGTCACAAAACATCAAGAATAATTTTCAGCACCAGTTAATAACTGAACCCATTCATCTTGTAACTTTAATATTGTAAAAGTACCCTGGGGATTTGGACTGTTGGTCGTACAAAACAAGTAATTTAAAGTCTTGATGGGCTCTGATGATAAAGATGTCTTGGAGCATATGAATGAGAAAAATCTCCAGTAAATGTACCAAATAAATCTGTTTTTTTATATCGCTCTATCTCAAGGATGAGTGACTTAAAATACATTTCTGTTAATGTTTGTGTGAGGATTTTTCTGTCAAATGGATTCTTTGTCCTTTGCTCATTGTTCCTCTTGCTCTGCTCATCAGTGCCGAGAGGCTAACTGAAGATTCAAACCCCTCTGTTCCCAAGATGCCCTCTGAGTCTGCCAGCGAAGGCATGGCAACAAAGGTAATGATGATTTAAATGGTTAAATTACTTATTGTGGTGCATTTGCTACCATGGGAATAATAGCCTTGGATCATTTCACAGTTGTATAAAGTGTTAAATGTTGAAAGCAATGGGGAATTTGTATTGGTTTCTTTGTTTGTATGTCGTCGTAAAAAGATTGTGTCATTCTGCAGGTTAAAGCCGAGGAAGTTGACCTGCAAAACACCGCCCAACTATCTGACAACCTGATAGATTTCACAGATCCAATTCCTGTTGTAAGTGTCAGCTGACTGCATGTGGATCACCTCCTCCAACCAGTTGTAATTTATTCAATTCCTAAAAATGTTTTCATCTCAAGCCCAAAAAGACAGGTTTTATGGACAAGCTCAAGAACACTAGGAAGGAATTATTGGTCATTGCAGGCAGTAAACCACCGACCTTGACTAAAGACAAACTCACTCTGACCTCCCAACTAATTTGCAACAATACATCACATATTCACCTTCATTCAGAAACGTTAAACCCATCTGTAGCCCCAACAGAGTGTGAACATAGCTCCAACGCTACCAGGGAGTAGGAATTTAAATTAATGTTAGTGATGATACACCTTCACAACATTTATTAATATCTAGTGAGAGAAACTGAATTGAAAAATGAAACTCAATTCGGGACTTATATGTAATGTAAATCTGTGCTTTAGTAGTAGAGTTTGGAACTATACTGACAGTCACAAGTCTCCCTCTATGAAGAAGTAAACCTCTATCAGCAATCTGGGTTCACACATGAGTGAATGCCTGCCTAAAAGTTAGTATAGTCAATAGAGCGTGACAACATTTTTCTGATTGTCTTCCAGCTGCCACCAGTGCAGCAGCCCAAACCTGTCATCACACCGCGCTGGATCATTCCTACAACTGCTGTGAGTGATCAGTCTCTGGGTTTACCTGTCTAACTTCTCTCCTGTTCAGCTGTCTATCTGGCCTTTGTTTCTGCCCGTCTTTCCCCCCACCAGGTTCTTAAGAAATGTTTTAGAAGGTTTTGATGTGTATTTAATTATCTTCATTTGTGTCCGTTGTCTTGAAACTGGTGATAAAAGGCTTATTGCACTTGCGTAGTTGCTGTTCACTTTGGCTGATTTAGAAGCTCCGTAGAGTCTGACCTCCTTCCTTCTCCCCCATCCCCTTCTAATGCAGCCTCCTGGCGTCTTTACTAACGGCCTGCTCGACCTTGACCCCCCTGCTAAGGTCAGCCCTCTTCTCCCTGCCGATGGGGTTGCAGCTCTCACCCCAGCCCTCCCCCACCTCGCTCACACGTGTAACACCGTCTCCGCCAGGTAAAAATTCTTAAGAACCCGAAGCACTTGCAGGTTGTTTTTTTACAGCAAGCTTGGTAGTATACTGACCCCTGCTGGTGAAGCAGGAGAATGCCTCCGTTAGCTGAATGCAGAGTTTGAGGGTGAGCTGAATCACTTGTAATTCCTGCTTGGCCTTGCTACTTTGAGAAATCATGAGCTTCCTCTTGTTTACCTCAAACAGTGGCAGTCACTGCAGAAGTTGTTCATCCTGGAGGAGTCCATGGTAGACACAGCAGAGGTTGCAAAATAGCAGATTAAGTCTGTTGCAACAAGTTATCATTAAATCATCAAAGTTATCATATTGTAAACTACTCAAATGTGTCCCTAATTCCTCATGCACACAGAGAAAAATCATGTAAGTAGAGTTCAGAATGATAGCTATGCACCGCACGAAGTGATGTGAGTTTTTTCATATCAGTTTTATTTATGTATCCAGGAAAGGAACTGATTCTTTTTAAAGCAGTATATTTCAGGAACCATATGCTCATAACCTCTCAGTCAACATTAAAGTGCAAGTTTAATGCCTTTTCCTTTAAAAGCAGTCTCTCTCTGATGCAGTGATTTTGTGTCCCGCAGCACTGTGGGTCAGCAGCCAGCCTCGGACAATGGAGCCAAACCCAGAGGTCTCCTGACCACTGAGCTCTGATGGAGAAATGAGGAGCAGCCATCACAGCGTTTGTCTCCCAGACTGCTTTCCCCACCTCACCCCCTCACCCATCCACACACAAGCAAGCTGGGCCAGGTGTGCTGAACACTGAGGGCCAAGAGGAGAGTGGAACCAGGGAACTGGCAGCTTACAAGCACCACAAACACATTTAAACGAAGTACACAAGACAATAATAGGAGTATGATTACAGTATCACATGGCACAAAGACTAGTTGAAACCATTAAAACAAACACGTAGCACCAGTATTAACATTTTAGGAACACCTAACTTGTGAATCTCCTGTTTGACTTCACTGTCAGCGACCTGCCATTTGCTCCATCCATCCAGTCAACCAAACCTCGGTCTTTAATAACTACCACCAACTCCTTGTAGACGACAAGTGATATAAACTGTTGTTGTTCAGCTTCTTTGCTACAGGGGTCAAGTTGGGGCTGACACACTAAAATCTCATGAAACTGTAAGGTATGTTGCATAAACGCATCCACCACTGACTTTAAATGGTAGGTTGTCTCTTTTAGTGCTGCTTTCCCTCCCCCTTTTTTTTGAGTCATGCTGTTGTATCACAGGTAATTCACACCACTGGATCCCTGCTACTCTGAGCTTTTACTGTACACTCACTGATCACACAGCATGTGGAGCATCAAGTACACTGGATGAAGGACTGAAAAGAAAAATCTCTTTAAAAAAAAAAAAAAAAAGAAGAAAGACGCTGACTTAAGTTGATTCTAAGAGATAAAAGCACCTGGACTCTTAACATGAAACGTGACACTGTACTGTCCTTGTAGCACACTACAAACCTTTTTTTTTTTTTCTCTTAAACTCAATCGATACTACGTGTGAAACTCGACTGTTAGCAGCCACTGGATATGAAAACTTCACTGGATTATCTAGCAACAATGGACCTTGAAAGTATTTTTTGCGATGGATGACAATAGAGATGACCACCTTGGTTTTTAAACCGATGTTTTTATTATCCTGCTCTTATTTCCTTTTTTTTTTTTAATGTTTTAATTTGCCCTTCGCAGTACTTTTTGCATTCACACACATCGGTACCAGCATCATTAGAGGTTGAACATCACTAATGAAAGTTAGTTCTGTGTCTCGTCTTGGACGCTCTATGTTCTGCTCCTCTGTGAACTCTTGGCTTCGAGTTTTAATGTTTAGTCTAAAATGTGACCCTTTTAGTTTGTTTTCACTTAAAACCACTGCTTCCACCTGTGGCAAGTTTTGATTCACGTTAATCTTATCTTCTAAACTGGTGATATAAATGCGCCATGTGAGGTTAAAACCTTTAATTGAACTGTGATCCCTGGAGGTGAACGCCGTTTCTCAGTTTTTGGATTACCTAACTGGATGGTTCCTGGTATTACCACGTTGTAGCTACTGCCCTGCCTTATGGAAATGAATGTATTCGAATAGTCTCATCTGAGAATGCTGGAGATGCCACAGTATGAAAACAGAGTTTTATGACTTAAATTCACAATTGCTGATGTAGTTTATAACTGGAGGAAAACTTGTGAAGTATCTTAAAAGCTGATTTTATGTGAAATTGAGGCCTAATTCTAGTTATTAATGAAGTATATCAGGTTTTTTTATTTTTATTTCAGTACCCCATACATTGTAATCACAAAGTCTGGACCCTCTTTCAAGTTATATCTGTGTAGTGTTTTCATTATCTGTCTTGAACAAGGGAAGCTGACTGTTTTATAATGTCTTCTTAGCAGTGACGGTTATTTATGCTACTACTCATTGTAATTGTTCAAATATGACATGTTGTCCAAAAGTGTTGTAGCATACAGTTATAATGTATTGTCAGTATAATGGCATCAGCTGGCTGTAGATATGAAGTAGATTTATATATTTTTTTTGAAAATTATGTTGGCAGTATTGTCACTACATACCGAGAAGATTTCAGCATCGACGTGTTTTCTAATTACAGAAGAAGTAGGAAAACGTATTACTGATCAATCTGACTGGAGAAACACTGAGATTGTGATGTCTCAAATGCAATTTTATATAAACTTTTATTTTTTTTTTCTGGAAAATCTGATCATGATTCAGTAAAGCTTTGCTACAGTAGGAGTCAGTTGTTTTCATTCATGTTTGTTGTTTGGCTACTGTTGAAATGAATTCCCTGCAAAGGACGTTATCAGTGAAAGAAAGAAAGAAAGAAAGAAAAAACACAAGAAAGAAGAAAGAAAGAAAGAAAGAAAGAAAGAAAGAAAGAAAGAAAGAAAGAAAGAAAGAAAGAAGAAAGAAAAAGAAAAAGAAAGAAAGAAAGAAAGAAAAAGAAAGAAAGAAAGAAAGAAAGAAGAATCTGTTTAATTGACTTTTTCAAATGTTTGTTGCCAGCTATGAAACACTGACTTCAGGAGGTAAGAAAAAATGACTTTGCAACCTTGTTGAAATTCATTAGTGAAGCTCTCGTACTGTATCTGTATCAGAAATGCAGCAATAACATCTGACTATGTATTCAGAATGATTTTAAGGGATAGCCTGGATCTCAGTTTTATTATAGTCTGCGTTACTAAGTAACCAAGTGTTTCTTTGCCATTGCAGCCCTCACAAGGTTTTAATTTATTCCTTCTTTTTTAAGCGCATCCTCCACTGACGTATAAAGGAAAAACCTTTCAAAACAGTTGACATGCTTTTCTTTGAACAGATCTGTCTTGTTGGTATCATCAGAGAAGTTAAAGGTAATTTACGAAGTGGATCAGATTCTTAAATAAATGATATGATTTGGGTTATTCTAGTTAAGAACCGTTGAAATAACTAATAACCAGCTAATGTGAAACCCTTTTTCCCTCCGTTAGTGAATATAATGTATAACTGAAACAGACTATATGGTACATTTACTTTACTTTTACATTTCAGGTAAACATTTTCTGCAATGCAAGAGTCAGAAAGCTCAACTCTCCCAACTGTGGAAAAGTATTACAAATTAAAAACAATGTAGAATTTATATTGTAAAACGAGAAAGTTCACAGTAGGTAATTTTTTCCAAATAAACTGATCCAGTATGTACAGTACCAGGACCCTGAAACTGAAGCCTTTAAAAGGAATCAGGCAATTATTTATTGTATTATTTACACCTGTGATTTGTGAAATGTCATCAATGAGAAATACAGTGTAAAGCCATAAAACATGTCATTATACACTGTAATACACAAGTTAAAAGACGAATGCATCAATAATGTCTGCAGAAAGCTGCGTGTGAACTGCAGCCCTTTGAGTTATGTATTAAAACTTTAAAATGGACTCATTTAACGTACAATAAATGAAATATAATTACTGTGACAGACACGCTGAGCAGACAAACTGTTAGTGAACATGTCAGCCCTGTAGCTGTTGGTCTGTGAAGGAAGTCAAGTTTTACCCAGCTGGCAACAGTCTTTAGTGTATGTTAGCCAATTTGCCACTGGATGGCAGCAAAGTACTATGTTTTACTATTTGGGAAGAATTAGAGTTGAGCAGTTGCATTTATATTCAAGGTGCAACAATACTAAATATATTTTTAGTCTGCAACACATTGTAAAACAGTAACATCCTCTGTGACACACAAAATGTTTGATTTTCCACTGTTAAAGGAAATGTTTGTTCATTTATGTATGTACATAAGTCTGATCAGGCCAGGAGTTAAATCAGCCTATAGTTTATAAAGTATAAACGGTACCAGCAGCAGCATTATGGTAGTCAATTTCAATTTTGTTTGTATAGCGCCAATTCATAACACAAGTTATCTCAGCACACTTTTCAATAGAGCAGGTCTAGACCGAACTGAATTATTTACAGAGACCCAACAGTTCCCACCATGGGCAAGCACTTGGTGACGGCGGCAAGGAAAAACATCCTTTTTAGAGGCAGAAACTTTTGTCAGACCCGGCTCTCGGTGGCCGGCTGTCTGTCGACCAGTTGTGGTTAGAGAGGCAGGGAGAGAGAGAGGTGAGGGGATGGGAGTAAAGAGAGAAGGAGCCGACAGAGACAAAGGTGCACAGCAGCAGCAACAACAACAGCAGAAACTATACCAGTAGAAGTGACTAATAATGATGATGATACTGACGATAACAATAGCCGATGGGGAATGATGAATAATCATAATAATATTAGCAGTGGGAGTCCAGGATCCATGAGAACCTGCGAGACAAGAAAGTACATAAACTGAAGTGAAGTTAGTAACATGCATTAATGGAAATGAATGAGTGCAGAAAGAGAGAGAGAGGAAGAGAGGAGCTCAGTGCATCATGGGAGATCCCGCCGATTAGTCCTAGGCCTATAGCAGAAATAACTTAAGGGATGGTTTCGGACTGCACCTGATCCAGCCCCTAACTATAAGCTTTATCAAAGAGGAACGTCTTAAGCCTACTCTTAAATGTGGAGAGGGTGTCTGCCTCCCGAACCACAACTGGAAGCTGGTTCCACAGGAGAGGAGCTTGGTAACTGAAGGCTCTGACTCCTGTTCTACTTTTAGAGACTATAGAAACCACAAGTAGCCCTGCATTCAGAGAATGCAGTTTTATCACGTTACCACCTTTAAGAATCACCACCGACCCTGGGCACTCCAAAGAGGAGATGGATCACCATATTCTGGAGCCCCGTGCCTAATGACCCAGAGACCTCCTCCCTCCCCTAATCCATCCTTTGGTGACAATCCCTGAGGCTTCACCCTGGTGTGAAGGTTCTCCTCCCGCCTCCGGGCTCTGTCAGGATGAGGATCTGGCAGAGAGCAAGTCAGACTTAGAGTAGAGGAGTCCAAAAGTCAGGCCTCTTCACCTCCGATCCTCTCATCCAACGGTTCCTCCGACTCAGACATGGACAACGATGGGGCTGGGGAACCTCAATCTCTGGGCCCTCAACGCTCAGATGATCACTGACCAGGGTGGTGTGAGGCAGATTGCTTCTCTGTGCAAACTTTCCCCACAAGCTGTTGAGACACAATTTAAAATCTTTGCAGGGTACAATTTTGTCAGTGTCTAACTGTATACCCTGATGCACCCGATAGTCCCTGATGTACTTTTCTCTGCTTTCCTGATCAACAGCCTCAGGGGGGGTAGCCTGACGCTTCGTGTTTACCTTTCAGGAAGGTATGCATGTAGCCACCAAAAATTGAATCGCTACATCGCCTTGTTGTTGATTTCAGCGAAGGTACGGCAGAAGGTGAACACCAATTTACCTCGAGAAGTTTTGTAAGGTAAAATCAGGAAAAGGAGCCCCATAGGCGGGTAGATGACGGCCCAAAGTAGTTTTGAGGCGTGTCAAAGTCTTTGTAGATTATGGTGGGGTGACCTAGTGGGTAGGAAAAGTTACAGTTCGAATATGGGTACAGGGAAGTGACGTCTACATAGTGCACAGCCTGCTGTGTACTTCAGCCTCACAGCACTGGTTCTGCCTCCAAAAAGAGTGTCACTGGGGCATAGAGGTTCAGGACACAGTTTTAACCACTGCATGCAAATTTTTCATAGCCGCCTATTTGTGTTCCCACATGATGACCGTGCGAGCGCCGTGAACAGACTTTAACACCTGTATTTTCTCCTCACTAGCCTCATGCAGCTCCTCAAAGGGGATCCCCCTCAGAGGGCAGTTGTCGTGGGGATTGAAACAAGACGGGCAACCATGATAAAAGCACCCCAGCAACTCCCAAGCATATGCAACACCCTCGATTTTGGCATTGCCGTCAACATAGTGTCAAGAGAGTTGAGATCCCTGATGTGCTAAAACCACTTTGGAAAGCAAAGGGCTTTTCATCGTCCGGCCCTACAGTGGAACATTAGGGACTCTCCATCTGAATAATGCAATGCACAAAGATTATAATAACCAAAAAGCTGTATAATGATTGAAGTTGATTCTATATTACAACATGAAATATGTAACAATGAAAGGAAACATGATTATATGATTGTAACTAACTATTTGATTATGAATGAGTATGACTGCATAACAGTAAGTTAAAACTATAGAAAGTAAGGCCAAGAGAGCAAATCATGTTGAAATACTGAGTAATGTGGTGGGAAGGCACGTATTGCTACCAGGGAAAAGGGAAGGTTGTATGACACGAACAGGATACATCTGGTGAGAAGTGTTGGCAAAATGTCAAGACAGAAGCTCTCGAACAGCCTTTGCGTAATTTATTCAAGTCGATACAATACAGGTCGAAGAACTCTTCAGAAAACCAAGTACAATCACAGAACAACCACAGAACCCCCCCAACCTCTATTGAGGCTTCTAGGCTTATACCACTTATTGACGTAATTTCTTGTCAGCAGTTGGTCATTCCTTATCAGCGGTTGGCTATTTATCAGTTTTCCTTACAATTCAAGATGTTATCTAACTTCGACAGAAACAGATGCTGGCTTTAGGAGTTTCCCGTTTCGTGTCAAGGTGTCTTCCAATGGTCTTTTTGGGATTGTCCTTAATGGACGCACTCAGTGTTGACAGAACAGGAAACTGTTCTTAATGTTCCAAATATACTTTATTAATATTGTACTAATATTTTCCACCACAGAAGCAAAAAGGGAAGTGAGAACACCCTGAGAGACAAGGGGATAAAGGAAGCTACACGGGGAGGATCGGGGTTAGTCCTCGGCCAGCTCTCGGGTTCAAGAGACGCTGATCAATCGACCACATCAGAGCATCGCATCTTTGAACTAAAAACTTCAACTCAAGAGACAGGGCTAACAGCCCAACATCGCAGAAAGAGGAATCCAAAAACCTACAGCTGAGACGAGACAATTGATTTCCAAGGACTCTTATGTTCACCCTGACATCAGAGACTGAACTGGTCAGAGACTTTGCAGACTTTGGATAAAGTCGGGAGTTTCAACAGCAACCAACAGTACGGCAGACCAGGAAGGACTGTATTGGCTGTACACCCACCCTCTCTTCAAACTAGACATTTAACCTTTCAGCTACAGCCTTTTCACGAGGGTTTGAAATTGAACAATTCCTTTTAATATTGGATACGTAGTTAATCTTTATCAGTAGATGTGAATAATCAATTTTGAATCAACTTTAGCTGTATGCTAGCATCTTGCAATAAATATAACGACTGCAGTTAAAGAATAAGTAGTGGACATTGGATTTATGCT